GATCGATGTATATGCACTGTACAGCATCGGAGAGCAGCGGGCGATATGCGCAGGAAGAGCTCGCCAGGCCTGTGTCGTGGTGTGGATGTGGTGCGAGTGAGACCGCTGCACCGTGCGGGCCTGGCGGTGAGAAGGGGGGGGGGGGAGCGGTGGTGGTGGTAAGCTCTGGTAAGCTCCGGCGCAAGGCATCGTGGCCAGCTATATTTATGTTGACTCCTTCGCCGCTCCCCTCCCCCCTCTCTCCTGCTTTTCTCCCCACTCCCCTTCTCTCCCTCTCTCTTCCTCGGTTTCGCACCAATATTGCGCGGGCAGGAAGTGTGGGCGCTGGGGGGCGTGTCTGTGATTTAAGGTCTAATTAAGGAATTTGGGATTATTTTTTGGACGTTTATTATCCTCGGGGGCCGGGAGTTAATTTCGTGATTTACTCGCGCCGAGCACGCGTCTGCTTCGTATCGTGTTTCCCCCAGCATGTGTGCGCACCGTGCGAGCGCCGTGCTGCGGGGCGGCTCCGACCGGAAGTCGCTTTTGCGACAGTCATGCAGGCCGATGGAGAGCCATTCGCGCCGTCCAAACCGACACTTTCCATTTTTTCCCTCACTTCTTTCTCGTCGTCTAGTAGTTTCGGATCGCTCCAGCCCGCACGCCGTATAAGGGGTTAGTCGACGGCGTGACGCGCGTATGTGTGTGCAGCTGGCACCCATACGGGGCTAACCTACATTTTCGCCAAGATCTTTGTTTGGTTTTGTTTTGTTCTTCTTTGCGCTTTGGAGCCCTCCTGAGCTCCCTCTGGAGGAGGAATATGAAGACCTATCCAAGCTGTCGCCGCCCCGCCCCTCCTCCCCGCCCCGGCTCCCGTACAAATACACAATGCGAATGCGGCCGCAGCTGCAGATGTTTGCAGATGCGGCCCACCCTTTCCCCGCGCAGGGCAGGGCAGCACTAGTGCGGCGCTAGCGGGGCCCCCCGCCCACCTGGGCAGCGCTATAGGCCGGTCGGCGTGTACCTGGGCGGCTAAGGCCACCCTCGTCCTGGGCCGCGCGGAGCGGAGCGGAGCAGCCCGGCCGGCGGACGGAGAGGTACAAAGCTACAAAGGCACCGCTGCCGGAGTGAAGCTCAACACTCATTACGGACCGAGCATTGTCGACTATTTTGCAAAAGTGGAAATCACGCAGCCGCCTGGCCCAAGGCCTGGGCCTGGCCTAGCCGCCCCGCCCCGCCCCGCTGGGGACCGTCAGGCCTGAGAAGGGCTCTGATTCGCGCTACGACGGCTGTGCGTGTCATTAGCCCCACGGGCTGGACGGCCCCGGCCCCAGGCAGGGCCCCAGGCCGAGGCCCCCTCAGGCCCCATAACGCCCTGGAACACGTTTCCTCCATCCCCCCGGGTGCTTCTTCTCGACTCTCTTATCGCAGTGCTGCGATTTCTGTCACCCGCTCCGCGCCTCGTGCGGCAGACGACAGACAGCACCGGAGGGAAAATCTTTCCAACTGACTGGTCGGTGCAGAGGCGGGAGATGAGATAACGAAGCTTAATTTCACCCGGAGTTGTCCATACCTTATCAATTTTTACTTTTTATTCGTTTTTATTATTTTTCGAATTCGCAGCTTGTAAAATGTTTTCATTTTTTATTGTTATTAATATTGCTTTTGCCGCGAGGTACTTTCGCCTAACGGACATTACTTTTTCTAATCTTTTTTTTTTTGTTTCGTTGTGTTTTGTCTCTCGTGCTGCGACACGACCATATGGCGTCGCCATGTACGTCGACGAGTGACGCTGCAGATCAATGAGCGCGCCACCAGCGCGCCGCCGTTAGGCCGCCCTGCCCAAATCTCTCTCCATTCATTTGTTTAATCATTTCTCCGGGCAGCGAGTTTAGATCTCGTCACGTGCCCGTCTGCCAGCAGGGGCCGGGCCCCGGGGCCGTTGACTCTGCAGTGTGTGTCCACTTTGTTGAGGTTCTCGTCGGCCGCCTCTCTGCCGCCGCCGCGCCGGTCGCAAAACAGGATCGTGCAGAAAAGAGACGACGGGTTAGGCAGCAGGAGAGAGAACGGGAAAAGGGGGGGGGGGCGGCAAGGGTTTTAGAACAACAGGGGTCTCTGCGGCTGGACCATAAAACACCACGGCAACATTTACTAATACTCTCCTTCTGCAGTGCAGCCAGCCCAGCCAGCTCATGGCGGGCGGGAGGGGCGGGCGGCGGCAAAGCTTGAAGCAGTTATGATCATAAAAGCCCCCCGAAACCTTGGAGCATAGCAGAGCAGGCGGGTAGGGCAGGGGCGGGGGGCAGGGGCAGCAGTGCAGATCCTGTGCGACAGCCCTCTCCTCTCCTCTGCCTCTCCGTTCGCAGGTAACGGAACGACACAATAGCACGGAGCGCTGCACGACTTGCACTACACTGGTGCACTGCATGATGTCGTTGTGTTCATGTGAGATTTGCTCCCCCCCCCCACCTCCCCCCTTTCTTCCTAAAGGTGGCGAACTCATCGCTAAATCGTGCAGAGGGGCGCTCCGTAAAGCACAGCCCGTTCCTCCAGACCTCCTTCCTTCCGGACCGCCCCCCTTTTTCTTGCCGTTATTTCCCACCGTGTGGTTGTCGTATCTGCTGCGCCCCCGGCCTTAGATACGGCGTTGTGTGATGTGTGTGCGTCTGGGCTCGGCCTGGGCTGTGCCCTGCACTGTCTTCACTCTTACTTTCGGGAATCCCAGGCCAGACGCAGGGGCGGCGTGGGCCGGCGGGGACAAGGGTAGCCAGCGCTGCCCCGCCGGTCCCGCCCCGCCCCGCCTTGCCTTTTGTTTCTATTCGCACCGTTGCCATGTGTCTGGCCTGCCCGATAATGCATCGCATCGGCCCTGGGATCATTACAACAATGGCTAGGGCAGAACAATATATTTGAAAGTAAAAAAAAGATGCAGAGGACGACCTAGTTTCCAATTTCCTACGTATGCTCCACATCGTCGCCGTACGTAGACAGTAGCAACACAAGAGGCAGTCGGTAACCGAACTCCCGGTGGAGGTGGTGTGCTGCTACGAGGGCGTGGCGGGGCGAGGCGGGGCGTCGCCGCAGTGCTTTTCGGGAACGTTTGTCCGAGATTGCGAACGGGCCGCGTTTGTTATGACCCTCGTTGGAGTCGGAGCGGCGGCACGGCTGCGCGATCTGCATGCTGAGGCCGAGGCCGACACGGTGTGCAGCAGCAGCGGGTCGCCGGGCCTCGGCCCACCTGGCCCCGGCCGGCCCGGCCCCGCCCGCAGGTGTAGCGGCAGCGCTGCGGCAGCCTCGGCACAATACTTATTGTCTCACCGTATATATGCTTTTCGGGGAATCCAAACGTTTCCAACACCATCACCACCACCGCCGCGCCACCCCCACCGGCACGAATTTCCGGAAAAAAGGACGTTTTGTCTCGTGATAGTTTTCCCTCTTTTTTTTCACGTCCTTTTATTATTACCATTCGCCCGCTCTCTATCGCAAGAGCGCTGCGGTTTGATTGTATTGGTGACGATCAACGTGAGGCAGTGTCCTGTCCGCCGGCGGCCCGCTGTGGGTGGCGGAGCGCCCGGGAGCGCCTGAATGGAGCCCGTTGGCTTTTTGCCCCCGTTTTGGAGGGCGGCGCCCGGCGCGGGCCACTCAGTGGAGGTGCGAGGAGGTGACACGCCCGGGGCAGTCCGCGGCGGTGCCCTGGCGGAGCCCCGGGCTACCCGCGGCGGGGGCGGAGGGCGGAGGGCCGACGGCTGAAAAGTGGGTCGACCAATCGGAGGAGAAGCGGCGGCGGCAACAGCAGCACTGCTCTCTTGCACACGATCACGTGCCCCCCGCGGGATGGACGATCTGATATAGTCGCCTCTCTCTCTGTCCCTCCC